CGCCTTGGTATTCTTCAGATGACTGTGGTCTGTAAGGTGGGAGGAAGACCCATAGCACCGACGTGTTCTTTTGTGTTTGTGTTGTGCTTATTTTTTTGGGCTTGTTTGTTTGTTTGCTTGCTTGTTTGTTTGTTTGTTTGTTTAATTGTTTGTTTGTTTGTTTGTGTGCGCCCCTCCCCCCGCCGCCGCCGGGCGCCTTCTCCTCCTCCTCCTCCTCCTCCTCCTCCTCCTCCTCCTGCATGGTGGCCTAATTCGCGTTCAGTGCGCCCCATCAACGCCTCTTTCGCCAGCGCGGTGACGCTGGCAAGCCGCCGATGTAAAAAGAATGTGTGTGTGCGTGTGTGTGTGTGTGTGTGTGTGTGTGTGTGTGTGTGTGTGTGTGTGTGTGTGTGCGTGCGTGCGTGCGTGCGTGCGTGTGTGTGTGTGTGTGTGTGTGTGTGTGTGTGTGTTTGCGTGCGTGTGTGCGTGCGTGTGTGTATGTGTGCGTGCGTGCGTGCGTGAATGTGTGTGTGTGTGTGTTCTATCTTTCAAATCGTTGGTCCTCTGGAGATCAGGACCCCTTCCCATGGACCAGACTTTCCTCCCGAGTCCGTCTCCCACGCTCGTGGGGCCCAGCGGGGGCCCCCGGAGCTCGACGGCCTGCCAAACTTGCCCGTCGTGTGACCTGTGGAAGCCAAGCGGGGGGAGGAGCAGGGCGAACCGAGAGGGGTCGAGGATGGAGAGCCGCGAGCCTCAGCGCTGGCCCGCGCTGGCGGTGGCCTGGGCCACCACGGCGAGGAGGCTCGTTCCCCCGGTGGCGCCCGAGAGGATGAGGATCGGCAGCCCGAAGTCGGTCAGGTAGCGGGTGATCCAGGCCTGGCGGGCAGAGCCAGGCACGGCCAGGAACCACTGGGTATACGGTCGGGAGCATTTGCTTATCCTCTCGCCGCGGCGGCCCCGGCGACACGCTGTGCCTGACAAGCGAGTAGGTGTACTGCTCCGCTCTGCGCGGGGGCGGCGGAGAGAAAAGCTCGGCACGTGGACGCCTGGGGACCGCGGGGTGGATGGCGTGTCTCGCTGAGGCGTGGCGGGCCGGGGCCGGCGGAGCGATGCGCTGACCAAAAGTTCCCGACTGTACTACAAGAGGGTGAGGGCGTTGGATCAGGAACCGCTGGGCAAGGAATTCATAATCTGGAAGCCAGTGGAACTCCAGTCGGGACTTGGCCATGGATCTCACAGCCGCCCTCGTCGGGTGAGGAATCCTCCAGGATTTGAGGCCTCCTGGGCACATTCATTCACCAACGCCCCCACCGTAGGTAAATGGGGTACGAGATCGCGTGAGCAATACATCGGCGATGCAACGAGGACATGGGCGATGCATCGGCTCCCCCAGCATGGATTCAATCGTGCTCCGCATCGTGTCGCATCGCCGATGCATCGGCGCGATCCTCCGACCACATCTGCTCGGACCCCATCTGGGACGCCCAAATACAACCCTCCGCGAAATCAAGCGCGACCTTCTCTCGAACCGGTTCGCCCCCAAACTTCAATGTTCAGTGGGTCGATGCAGCGCGGCCCGCGGGCTCCGAATAGCAGGTCGGAGTCACCAATGAATCGGCGCGAACATTGACGTTTGGGGGCCCTCGGGCACCGTGCTCCGCGTGAGCAGAGCCATGTACGGCGGGTTCGTGCCGTGACGACCATGGCGTTGGCTTCTGACACCGTGTGGATGGATCGTCGAGAGCCGAACGATCGTCGGCTTTTCGATCGCCAGATCGCGTCATGCTGGCCGATTCTGGGCCGCCTGTGGCGTTCAACCTTACACGCTCGCGCTGGGGTTGCCCGCCGCTTCGACACTGCGGAACCTGCCGTACGTGTCGGCCAGAAGGAGCAAGAGGAGGCACGCCGTGGGAATGCGCTCGAGGCAACTTTGGCCCCGCCCCAATCGAGAAAAAGGAGGGGCACAAAGGAAGGGCCTTCGGCCTTTGGGAGGCGCTTGATATTCCCAGACATGTAGTTTCGGTGGTCGTCAAACACATGTAGGAGGCCTTTGGAAACTGTCGTCGAATTTCCGGGGTTCGCGGGTTGCTCTTCGGAGGTCTCCGGAGGAGGAGGAGCAGGAGGAGGAGGAGGAGCAGGAGGAGGAGGAGGGGTAGGAGGAGGGGTAGGATGGAAAGGAGGAAGAGGAGGAGGAGGAGGAGGAGGAGGAGAAGGAGAAGGAGAAGGAGAAGCAGGAGAAGGAGCAGGACGAGGAAAAGGAGGAGGAGGCGGAGCAGCAGGAGAGTGGAGGGTGGAGAGGAGGAGGGCGAGGAGGGGATGAAGAGGAGGAGGGTGGAGAGGAGGAGGACGAGGAGGAGGAGGATAATGCAGGAGGAGGAGAAAGAAGAAAAGGAGGAGGAGGAGAAGGGTAGGGAGGAGGAGCATTAGTAGTAGTAGTAGTAGTAGTAGTAGTAGTAGTAGTAGTAGTAGTAGTAGTAATAATCGTAGTAGTAG